CTCGCGCACCCCCCGTTCAGCGACATCTTGGCTTCGGCGGACGAGAGCTACCGGAACGAGATCGGGGCGGTTCCCGAGGCCGCAGAAGTGACGACGGTCGTGGTCGAGGACGAGCCCATCGTCCACTGCGTGGAAGCGGAGCACATCCCGCTCGTGAGCAGCACCAACGAGGAGATCCACATCGCGACTGTCGACGAGGCCACCATCTCGAAACTCAGGCGCCTGAAGAAAGACGTGTTCCAGCGGGTCCGCACCCAGGTGCAGTTGCGCGCGCCTCAGTCGCCGCCGGGCGAGGGGGCGCCAGGTTTACCTTGAGATCGGCGGTTGCAGCTCGACGCGGTTTGCCCGCCGCGATCGGGGTGCGAGGCGATCGGCCGATGTCTAATCCTCCGCCTCATCCCTCCTACTCGCCTCCCCTTTCCCTCCAGCGATGCCCCCCTCCCCCCGTCCCCTCGCCCGACGCCTCCTTCCTCGCTTTTTTTTTTTTCTTCTCTGGACGCTTCGCGCATCCCCAAGCCCGACAGCCCATCCAACAACGATGCCCAGGCGAGTTGAGGTGTTGTTGTGAGAAGTTGTCGGAAGTCTCTTGGAGCCATCTTGGAGCTATCTTGGGGTCCTCTTGGGGCCCTCTTGGGGGCCGCTTCGGGCTCTTTTGGGGCCATCTCGGGGCCCTTTGGGGTCTCAGAGACCCTTTTGGAGCCATCTTGGGCGATCTTGGCAGAAGGGAAGGAGGGGCTGTGGAAGCCCAGAGGGCTGGTGGGTTTGGCGGCGGAGACTCAGGTTTCCCGAGCCTGCCACCGAGACCGAGCTGGCGACGCTCATCAGGGAGAGCAGCGCCTATCACGAGGGCTTTAAACCGCAGGTGTCGAAGACGAAGAAGTACATCGGTGTGTTCTACGACCAGAAGGTCGCCGGCCAAGGCGACGCGCGGCCGAACGTGAGGCCGCCCTACTTGAGGAACGCGCACATGGAGAAGCACATCTGCGCGGCCATCAAGGCGGCCACGGTTGCTGCGGATCCTGAGGAGCAGGAGTGCTATCGTCAGCGCGTTGCCCTGGGCCCTGGCCGGGCGCTCGCCCTGCCCGCCTTGGGGCAAGGCGTTCGCCTGGGGGGGCCAAGGGCAGGTGCGGGGGGATAGACGCACCAGGATAATGCTCCGAAGCACTTGCCCGCGGAACTCGCGTTCTTCGTGTGCGACGGGGGGAAGACTGGGCAGGAGGCGACGCTCATGAACAAGTTCGTCGACGAGAGCAACAAGCCCTACCACAAGTCCAAGCACACAGTGACGGTCATCTACTCGGAGGAAAGCGCGGTGAACCGCCTCAAGATCAAGCGCAGAACCACGGCTGGCGCGCTCCAGGCCGAGAAGATGTACATCGTCACCGGCAAGGCGATCGAGATCGAGGACAAGGCCAGGCTCGCGTTGAGCGGCACCACTGTCGGGGAGCACATCAGTTGCGCCTGGAGGTCCTCGAGCGACCCGAGCCATTGGACGATGAAGCGCAAGCACAAGGCGACCATCATCACGAAGAAGGACACCATTGCGAACGGTGGCCGCGGACCCGGTCACGACGAGGAGGAGGAGCGCTAGGCGGAGAAGGAGGAGGCCAAGGCCATCACGCCGGAGAGCGAAGAGCAGGTGTTCTGGTGGGCACCGCCGCCCACCCTGCAGGATGAATGGATCCACAACTTCAACCTTCGCGCGGTGGTCGACCTCACTCCCGGGGATGGCGCCAGGGCGATGTGCTGCATCAAAAATAAGACCCCATACGTGGCCATCTGCTTCAACCAGGAGAACGTCGACGCCTTGTACGACCATCTCTTCAAGGAGACCATGAAGGAATCGTTGAACGAGGGCTGCAAGCAGCTCTACTCCTCGGAGCTGGCGGCCGTCGTCGTCGACAGCCAGAAGGCTAAGACCGAGGAGAGCGGCACGGACACGGCCGACAAGAAGAAGGGCGCGAAGAACAAGACCGGCAGCAGCGGCGGCAGCAAGGACGGCGGTGGCAGCGACGCCAGCGGCGGTGGCAGCAAGGACCCTATGGACCGCTCGGCACTGGTGGATCGCATCCGCGCGCTGGCTGGCGGCCCCGCTGCCAAAAGGCGCAAGAAGGAGAAGGCTGAGGATGACGCCGCTGAGGGTGAAGATGGTGCAGACTCCGTCTCCGACGTCGAAGAGGAGGTGTGATGGTGTTGAGCGGTGGTGGACGAGTCTGGCTAGCGGCGGTGGTGAGCGTTCTCGCTGAGGGCCTGGCCGGGCGCGCGCCGCCGGGAGGAGGAGGAGGAGAAGGGGGAGGAGGAGGAGGAAACGACGCTCGTCTGCAGTCCGAGGCGCCCCGTGGCCGATCAGCGAGGCCGCGGGCGCTTCCATTTAATAATGGCGCCGCTGCCAGCAGCGCAATGGCACACTGCAGGGTCTTGGAGTGTGACCGTGCCTGCTGGCAGCCCGCGCCGCTTCGGGGGCCAGGGCGAGTTGCGCGCCGCTGGCTGTGACGTTTCGCAGCAATGACGTGCCGCTTGGGTGACGTCACTACCCTCCTCACCCTCCTCGTCCTCCTGCTCATCCTCGTCGTCGTCGTCCTCATCGTCATCTCCCTCCTTGCAGTCGCTCGCGCTGCCTGGTCGTCCGCTCCCCTCCCCTCCCGCCCCTCCCACGGTCTTCGTCGTCGTCGTCGCCGCCCCCTCCCCTCCGGCCCGCCTGCCAGGAGGCGCGCCGAGAGCTTCGGCGAGGCGCCTCGCGCGCGCCGCGCGCCCGCCGGGGGGGAGGGCGAGGAGGAGGATGGCGAGGAGGAAGGAGGGCGAGGAGGAGATGGGCGGCGACGACGCACGCACACGACGACGATGACGACGACGGCGGCGACGGCGACGACTCGTGACGATGACGACCGCGACGACGGCGGCGGCGACGGCGGCGGCGGCGGCGAGGACCCCAGGGCCTCGGGCGGCGCCGCCCGAGGCCCTGAGGTCCTCGCGCCCTGCCGATGGGACTCCCAGTGGCCCCTGTAACGATCGATACCGCTGCTCGTTCTCCTGGAGAGCCTTCGTCGCCACGGCTGGATTCGCGTCGAAATTCTGGCCAGAACGCGACCTGGGAGACCAATTGGTGCTCCATCGGCAGGGGGAGGACGAGAGTCGCATCCTGAAGAGCCCAAGAGGATGCGAGGATATTCAGGAGGAGGATGAGGAACATTCGCCTGAACAGTCGGAGGACAGGTCCGAGGGAGAAGGGAGACTTCGACGCCCACGTCTTCGGCGCTAGCACTCGAGCGCACTCGCACTCGCACGACGGGCCTCACTTGTGGGCCTTGGGCTTGGCCTTCGGCTTCGCCCTCGCGGCGGCCTTGTTGGGCTTGGCCTTCGGCTTCACCCTCGCGGCGGCCTCGGGCTTGGCCTTCGACTTCTTCTTCGGCATGGCCTTCGGCTTCTTCTTCTTCGGCATGGCCTTCGACTTCTTCTTCGGCATGGCCTTCGTCTTCGTCTTCGGATCGATGTGCTCGTCGAGGGGGTCGTCGAGGGGGCTCGCCTTGGCCTCGATCAAGCTGGAGGGGGGCGGCGTCCAGCGCCACTTTTCTTCCACCTGTTCGCCGCCCCAGTTCAAACCGACGAGGACCCCACGCCATCCCTCGCGCATGTCCCTCCCACGCCACCTTTTCACCTCGACGAACGATTTCGGCGATGCCTTCTCTTGGGCAGCCTCGGCCTCGGCTGCGAGCTGGGCAGCCTCGGCCTCGGCTGCGAGCTGGGCTGCACGCCCTCGGGAGTGGCGGCTGGCCTTGCCGCCGCCGCCGTTCGGCATGACTGTCGCGCGGGCTGTCGGGCGCTTCGGGCTTGGGCTGTCGGGCGCGGCTGTAGGCTTGAGCCAAAACCGCTACGGATGGTTCCTGACACCGCGTCGATCGTTCAAGGCGTCGGCGTTCACCTGGATGTTGCGATGAAGTCGGTGTTGGATCCTGACACTGCGTCGATCGTTCAACCTTGGACGACCGGCGGCTTTCCGAGTTCACCCTCGAACGCCCGCGCTGGGGTCGCCACCGCGCGGCCTCCTGTCGAAACGCCTAGGCCCACGCTGGCCAGCATGTTCAGAACATCTCACGTTTCCTCCTCCACCTCATCCTCCATTCATTCCATTCCCGTTTTGGCTCAAATCGCATCCTGCGGGCCTCCCCTTGGCCATCCCGCGGGCCGCCCCCTTCGGCCCAACTTCATATGGTGGCGTGCCCACTTCGAAGCGCTGGAGATTGCGTGACTCTGTGCGCTGGAGATTGCGCTTCGGGAGATTGTTTTCTGTCGACCTGATCTCGGAGCGCAAGCCGTTGGAGAATGGCACGCGCCGCGGTCAAAGTTGGCGTCGATCTTGGCGACGTCATGAGCACCAGGGACACCGGTGATGACAAGAAGCCAGAGGGCGACGACATCTACGTGGCAGTAACGCGAGGTTTTTTCGCGTTCGCCTTGTTGTTCGGCATGGTGCATGGGCTGGAGAACCTGTATATCGTGAGTCGCACCCAACGTGGCTCGTGGTGGTCGTACCACAAGAAGCACGGTCACGTTGAGGCGTGGCCCGTGCGCTTCGTCAAGCAGACAGGGCTCGTCGAGATGGGCATGCCGCTGAACCACCTACATCTGTGCGAGCGGAAGAGTGGCGAGAAGGGCAAGGGCGCTATCGCTTCCAGACTGGGACTCACGCACCACATCGACAACGACATCGAATGCCTTTGGTCGATGGTGCACGACGATGACAACATGTGGGCGAACATCGTCGAAGAGAAGGGCTTCTTGGTGATGTTCACTGAACTGAGGCCAGTCATGAATAACAAGTGGATGACAAAAAGCTTGCGCGAGTGCATGTGCGAAGCTGGCTCGTGGCAAGAAGTCGCCCGTCTCTTTGAGTTGCCGCATGTGGACGGTCCTGGCGTGTGGGACTGGCTCGATCAGCAAGGCCCACCGCATCGCCGATATTCTGGCACAACGGTGGAGCGCGTCCGACAGGAGCTGGACGAATGGCTAGCATCATCTACAAGGCCTTCAACGTCCACGTGGGGTTCGCCACCGATTGTCCCCTGGCGTGAACGCGATGATGACGATGATGAGTGGCGTCGTCAAGAAGCACGCCGTCTCGAAATCAAATACCGAGAAGAACTGGCAGCCGCAGACGCTAAAGCGCAACGCGATGCGGAGGAGCTCCGACAGCAAGAAAAAGCAGAAGAACGAGCTGAGCAAGTTCGACAACATGAAAAACGCATCCGACAGCAAGAAGAAGCAGAAGAACGAGCTGAGCAAGTTCGACAACATGAAGAACGCATCCGACAGCAAGAAGAAGCAGAAGAACGAGCTGAGCAAGTTCGACAACATGAAGAACGCATTGCAGCTCTTCGCGCTGAGGAGGATCGACTTCGCGCAACACAGGAACGGCTACAGCAGCAGGTGCTAGTCAGCGACGCTCTACGACAACGTCGAGAACAGGACGCGGCGCTTCACAACAACTTCCGCGCGTTGGAGGCCCAGGTGCAGGGTATGGCAGAAGAACTTTCACGCCGCAGTGGTGACTGGAAGCCGTGGAGCACGTGGGCCAGCAACGAGCGGTGCAACGACGGGTGGAACTACAAGAAGTACAAGAGGGCTATGGAGCACGCCCTGCGGATCCGCCCGAGTCCAGCATGCGCGCGCCGCGTGGCAACCCCTATGTGCGCATCTTGTCACATCAATCAGCCTGGTGTGTACTGTCCATATTCTTTGTGCCCCCCATGTTGCCAGAGCGCTTCGTGGGCGGAGCGGGCCAGCAGCTCCAGCGCCAACGCCAACGAGTGCTGGCAACACGCTTTGTGATTAACATTGGCTGATTCGGCCATCGCGTGCAGAAAAACGGCATCCTTTCCTCCACCTCCCCGCTTCCCCCCTCTCTGATGATGAGCCTCCGGGGGGGGGCTGAATTAAGTACTTCCCCCACCTTGTTTGAGCCATGCGGCGCCTACAACGGCCCCAAGAGACCTCTCAGACCCCCTTTTCCAAAGGAGCCCCAAGAGCTTACTCCTCCTCGGCCCCCGTGGGAGGAGGAGGAGGAAGGGGGGGGGGGGGCGGACGGATGAGGAGAAGGAGGAGGAGAGAAGAGGACGACGATACGATTTTTCGGCGAAAGCCGACGCCGTTGCCCTGGCTGTTGAATTACCTGAATCATGTCTGAACGAACTACTCCTCCTCCTCATCCTCCTCCTCGCCGCCTCATCCGGAACCGTCTGGCGCCAGGGCTATTGCGCTGCTGCTGTTGGAGCGCTGCACTGGGAGCAGAGGAACTCTTCCTCATCCTCCTCCTCGCCGCCTCCTCCGGAACCGTCTGGCGCCAGGGCTATTGCGCTGCTGCTGTTGGAGCGCTGCACTGGGAGCAGAGGAACTCTTCGGAGGCGAATTGTGACCTCGAGCCTATTGGCACCAAAGTACCAACGCTTCCGGAGACGTAGGCCGGGCACCTATCGCACGGCACATGAGACCCCGGCTGAGCGTACCAGAGCGGCTCACACCTCTTCAGGCTGGCCACGCTCCACTTCTGCTCGAGAGTCGGGCCCTTGCCGTCGCCTGTCTGAATACCGTCGCTCCACGAGACGCTCCGCTTCTTCTTGGAAACGCCCGCAGAGCTCGAAGTGGCGTCGGTTTTCCGCTTCTTGAGCTTCGACGGGCCTGGCGGGCCCGCCAGCGAGCTCGACGGCGGAGGCTGCGCGGGCCGCTGATTGTCGCACATGATGCTGGGGTACACCAGCCTGCCCGCGAGCGCCATCTGCCCGAACTTGTAGTGCTTCTCCTTCAACGTTTCGGTGATGCCGTACAAGTTCTCGAGGTGCTTGAGCGTGGCCTGTATCTCTTCGCGCGACTCCTTGACACTCGGCCACGTACGGCGCCGCAACTGGAAGCGCTCCTCGCTGTTGAAGACCTCCTTCATCATGCCCATCTTGATGGACACGAACTCAGCGCCGAGGTGCTGGAGGTCGTCGTGCAGGAGCTTGTAGGCAAGGATCTGCGCCGGGCCCTGGGACTGCGGGCGCCCGCTGCCCGCTGGCGCCGCGCGCGCCGGTGGCGCCGATGGCGCCGGGGGCGCCGGTGGACCTGGAGGCGACGGCGGCGCCTCCGCCGCCCCTGAAGTCTTCTTCGGAGAATCCGAGAGCTCCGATGACTCCGAGTCCGAAGAAGAATCGGACGACTCCGTCGACGACGGCGTCGCCGGCGGCGGCGTGGGCGGAGGCCCCCGAGTCGCCTGCTGCGGCGTGGGCGGAGGCCGCGCCGTCGAAGCCGTCCCGCTGCCCTCATTCTTGGCGCCCTCGCTCCTGGTCGGCGTTGGCGGCGCTGGCGACGCCGGCGCTGGCGACGCTGTCCTGCTGGTCCGCGCACGGGGGCCCATAAGGTTCCAGGAGCCTTCGTCGCCGAACTTCGGCCAGAGGTCTTCAGAGACGGTCGCCCTGTCACGCCACAGCTTGCTGCCACCCCCGTCCTCCCACCAGCTGGCGAAGCGCCTGACCACGCCACGATGCTGTTGCTTGCAGGCATTGTCCTCCGGAGACGCACACACCAGCTCTAGGTACTCCTTCGACGCCATCGCGGGGAAGGTGATGTCGTCGCGCATGAACAACACTCGGAAGAACACCCCGAACTTCTTCACCGAGGAGGGGTTGCACTTCTTCACCAGCCAGTCCTCCCGGAAGCGATAGGACACTAGGGGGAAGTAGACCACGTCGTCGATGCAGTTCTTGTGCTTGCTGGTGAACACCTCCATCGGCGAAGGCTCCGTCGTCGCGCGTCGCAGGCCCAAGGCCGCGCCGCGCAAGCAGAAGCCCGTCGCGCGCCGGGCCGGCGGAGGCTCGCTGAGGCGCGCAGCCCGCCGGGGCGCGAGCAGGAACCCGTCGAGGTTCGCAGCTCTGAAAAA